CAGAGTTGGGAATGGGGGTTGCACCGCCCCCCCCCCCCCTCCCCCCCCCCCCCGATCCACGCCTGTTAGGCCTAGTTTTGTGTACGATCGATTACATTATCCGTGAATATAAATTATTATCCAGAATGACGGCCAGAAAGAGGGTGCAAGGCAAAACCTATTCATGAACATTTAAGGGAGGGCTTGCGATGGAAACATTGCCTCGATTGCATGATTGCCTTTACAATGATGAAGATGCATTTTTACTGTTATTTTTTCAAAAAGTAATTAACCTGCAATTAATTGTATTGTTCTTTCTTGAATCTTAAAAAAAAAAAATACGTTTTCTTTGCAAATGGTGTTCATCACCTTTACCAACAGTCTCCCCAATTCGTCCATATCCTACCGTTATCGGCTGCAATCAAGACCACGACGCAGACACGTGCGAGGCGAGAGTACGACACGACAGCACGGTACATAACCTGACCTGCGTCATGGAGCAGGTCAAACCTGCCGTGGAATTGAGGTGGATCCGTCTGTTTTTGGGCGGGAAGACGGAACTCAACGCCTCCACAACAGTCAGGCCTGTAGTTCTACCTGTCAACTCAGGTAAGCAAAGTTTGTCTAATGTCATGTTGCCACTTCAAGGCGTCGTTGGGGGAGGGGGCGCACGATGGGGGTGTACCACTCTAAGTAAAATTAGTTTCCGTCGACAAATTCTAGTTTTATGTATTAGCTACTTTCAAATATCGTTAGCTTTCAACAGTGCTCTTATACAGTTACATATCATTTGTTTTCAATTACAGGTTATCACAGCATAATTATATGTATCGATTTCAATTCTTTCGATCAGGTTCGTCTTTGAGGAACAACACCTATTCAACTTCAGCATCAGTCCAAGTGGCAGCAGTTGACGATGAGGAAGTATACGAGTGCGTGGCAGTGGGTGTTGCTGTAGGAGGCAATAAACGCACGAGGGTACGCCTTACCAAAACTCCCCTAGAAAAGGCAACTCATGACCCAACGGCAAAGAATGATGAAGTTCAGTCCTCCAACAGTCCAGGTAGGTAGCAATGTCAAGTCGGTACACGTCGATAATTAAGATGATGTTGTTACACGGTATAATTACACGTTAAAAAGAACTCAATATATAACAAAGAGAGATGCATGAATGGTGAAACCTGTAAACTGTGAATATAAATCAACGAATGCATTGTTAAAAACATACAAATGCAACCCTTGGACGGTGCGCTCTCATTGAGAACACTTTTTCTTATTTAAATTCAGTGACAATACAAAGCAAAAAAAAGTATTCTAATGCGTGTCGCTCATCGCAGAGAAACCTTCCCACAAATGTGACGTCATGCAAGAGGTATATTGGTTAAAATGGAACAATGAATGTCAGTGATTTGATGAAGGAATCAAGTCAGATATCAATTGAATCCAGTCAGATATCAATGGAATCCAGTCAGATATCAATGGAATCCAGTCAGATGTCAATTGCCACTTCAACCCATGACATCGTAGGAGCAAGACGTGTTTCCACGGGGCTCCCAAGCTATCGTTAATAACCAGCCAAGCAAACCAGCCAAGCAAACAGCGTAATGCCTACAAGACAGCGAGGGGAAAAAGACCGGTTGCACGGCGGTAAATCCTACTGCTGGCGTGGTCAACCCAGCGGATGACGACCCGGATGAATTTGGACGGCAGACTGAAGGCGAAGACCCCAAGGAATTTGAAACCTTCGTCCGTTCAACACTGGCCAAGCTCGTAGATGGCCAACAACAGCTGGAGCTAAAGCTTGCTGCGTCCATGAGTATAATAGTGAGCGAATCGTCAACCTCGAGAAGGCCAAGTCAGATCTTGAACAAGATTTGAAATCCCTGAAGTCTGATGTCTCCTCCATGAAGAACCTACTGGCCAAGCAGTCCTCAGAAATCAACAAACGAGAGATTTTCTCGTCGTAACAACTTTAGAGTTGTAGGAGTGGACAAAAAGCAGGGTGAGAACTGTACTACCTTGATAGAGAACATCCTGACCTCCGAGTTTTACTGGGGTGACGTACCGAGAATCGAACGCGCTCATCGGGACGGGCCAGGCAAGAACGGTAAACCACCACATATCTTAGTGAAAATGCTGTCGTTTCAGGACAAGGTCAGGGTACTCAGGGAACACCGTCGAGCTTTGGCAGGTGTGTCCATCTACATCCTAGATGACCTCACGGCGTCAGACCAGCAAGAAAAAGCAAGATGGAAGAAAGAGGTAAAGGCTCTCTACGAAAGGGGCATTAAACTGAGATTCTCTGCAGGGAAATGGAGAACTGACAAAGGTGTTCCCTATGGGTTCAATTGAGATAACTACATGTATAGTTTGCCCTTCCCTCTAATGAGGGCTGTTACTTATTATAAAAGGCTAGGTTTTTACATTTTCAATACACCCAGTATTACCATGTTTTCTTTTAATTTGAGTGGAGCCCCGTTGGGGACGACATGGCGTTAATTTTGTTCATTTATTTAGTATTTAAGCCAAATAGGTGTCATTGGATGTTGTACAGGAATTATTTTGGGGTGGGGCACGTTGGGTGGGAGACTTATTCTTTGGAATTACAGGGGGGGGTTGGTATTCTTACCATTCCGGGCTTTCTTTCATTCTACAATCACGCAACAAAAGATCAGCTCTTTGTACTTTTCTTTTGCACCAGTTGCTTACTTTTCGAATTTGCATACATTGACACGGTATGTGGCGTGTAGCTTACAGTGTATTGCCTTTTGTTAATAAGTGGGTGTGATGAACAATAGTAGTACTTTATCGATAGCCTCGATGAATTGCAGAGGATTGGGAAATTCTGCAAAACGCAGAGATGTGTTTCATTTTTGGAAAAACAAGAAGTTCTCTATTTGTTGTTTACAAGATGTACATTTTAACGAGAAAATGGAAGATTATGTGGCCAACGCATGCAGGGTCTTGAATGTTATTTTAGTTCCTTTACAACTACTTCTTGAGGTGTCCCTATTTTGTTTGATAATAATTTTGAGTACAAGGTTCATAATGTCAAGAAGGATGATAACGGTAATTTGCTGGTCCTTGATATTAAGATTGGCGACTTTTGTCTGTCACTAATCAATATTTATGGGCCAAATAACGATGAGCCTAATTTTTATGATCATGTTTCCGATATTTTTCAATAATTTTTCACGCGATTTTATGCGGGGATTGGAATTTGATTCTTGATGTGAATTTAGATTGTGTGAACTATTTGCATGTCAATAACCTTTTTTTCTAGAAACAGAGTGTTTCAATTAAGTAATGATTTCGATTTAGTTGATGTGTGGCGAATTCATAACCCTGATCTCCGCAAATACACATGGAGACAGCATAATACTCTTAAACAGTCTAGATTAGATTTTTTCTTAATTTCAGAGGAACTTAATTCCAAGTTAGTAAGTTGTGATATTAAGCCTGGTTACAGGTCTGATCACTCCTTAATTAATATCCAGCTTGATTTTACCCATATGGAGCGAGGTCGTGGCTATTGGAAATTTAATAATTCTTTACTTTCCGATCCCCCTACCCAAAGCTGGTTAAAGACACGATCGTTAAAGTTGTTAAAGAATATGCAGCCTCTCCCTATCAACCTCTTAACCTCAATAATGTTCACCACAGGGATATTCAGTTTACAATCAGTGACCAGCTGTTTTTTGAAATGCTTCTTTTGGAAATTCGTTCCAAGACTATTTTTTTTGCTGCTTGGAAAAAGAAAGAAGCTGATAAAGCCGAGCGTAATCTGGAGTGTCAATCTCTGTTTTGAATAACAAAGTGTCTGAAGGAGATCTTGAAGCAGTCGAAGCTCTCAATAGTAAACAGGTTGATCTTATTCATTTGCGTCAGAATAAAATGGAAGATGTTTTAATTAGGTCAAAGACTCGCTGGATAGAGCATGGAGAAAAAACCTTCGAAATGTTTTCTTAATCTAGAAAAATGTAATTTTGTTAACAAGTACATTAGTCGTCTTGTTAAAGATGACAATTGTATTATGACTCGAAGTGAGGATATTCTTTTAGAAACAAGAGATTTTTATAAGAAACTTTATTCCTTTCGTGAGATTGATGCGGAGGTCAATTTAAAGCCTATTTTTGCTGACGCAGATAGAAATGTACTTACTGAGGAAATGCGTGATCGCATTGAAGGACCGTTATTAAACGTATGAGGAAATTACGAAAGCTTTGAATAATTGTAAAAATGGAAAGTCTCCCGGATCAGATGGTTTTAGCTATGAATTCTATAAGTTTTTCTGTGATGAATTATCGTGGTTTTTGTTGCGGTCTTTGAGCTACGCTTAGGATTTTGGTCAGCTTTCAGTGACTCAGAAAAACGGTATTATTACTTTGTTGCCCAAAGGGGACAAACCCCGTCAATTTTTTTTTTAAAAATGGCGTCCTATCACGCCTTTGAACACTTTTTATAAAATTGCCTCTGCTTGTATAGCAGAGAGGCTGAAATCTTGTCTTCCTCATATTATCCATTATAATCAAAAAGGTTTCATGTCTGGGCGCTTTATTGGTGAAAACATCCGTACCATGTACGATTTACTTAACTTCACGGAGGTTAATAATATCCCAGGTATTTTGCTTTCTGTTGATTTTGAAAAGGCTTTCGAGTCGGTTTCACATGCTTTTATTTATAGGGTTTTAGATAACTTTAACTTTGGACCATCAATCACAAGATGGATTCAATTGTTTTATAACCAGGCCTCCTCCTCAGTCATGGTAAACGGATTTCCTTCAGAATCCTTTGTCATTGAGCGAGGCTGTAGGCAAGGTGATGGCCTAAGTCCGTATTAGTTTCTTTTATGTGTTGAGGTTTTGCCTATGATATTATGTAATGACCAGAATGTTCAGGGTATTCATGTAGGCGATATTGAATTCCGAATATCCCAATTTGCTGATGACACAGTGTTATTTTTAAATGGCACAGAGAGGTCCATGTATAATGCTTTTGCTATTCTTAACCGATTTGCCAACATGTCTGGGCTGCGAGTTAATGTTGACAAGACCACAGCAGTCTGGATAGGTTCTAAGAAGGATTGCACCGATAAACTGTGTGATGATATCAATGTTAATTGTATATCGCCTCCCGATACCTTCAAAGTGTTAGGTATTACTTTTTTGACTGATTTGGAGTCCATGATTTTGATTTACTATAGTAATGTTATTTTATCACTTAGAAAACTCATTGCACAGTGGTCTAAAAGGAACCTCGCGGTTTTGGGAAGAGAGACTGTGGTGAAATCACTCCTAATGTCAAAACTTACTTATTTTATTCTTACTTTACCTAACCCCCCTTGCAACATTGTTAAAGATCTTAATGTTATGTTCTTTAATTTTATTTGGAAAGGTAATGATCGAGTATCCAGAAACCAGATGACTCAAGATTATAAGTTGGGCAGTTTACGAATGGTTGACGTTAGGGCATACATGGACTCTCTAAAAATCACTTGGCTGCGTCGATTGATTGTTTCAGATAATACTGGTTGGGCATACTTGTGTCGTAAAATACTTGGTATTCATGACCGGTTATTGCATATAGAAGGAGGATCAATCGATTTACTCTTTGCTCGTAATGCTTTGTTTCATAGTAATCAATTTTGGGTTGATGTACGGAACTCTTGGCAGAAATTTACTCTGCTTCACAAACCCTCCACTCAAAGTGACGTTTTAAAAGCCACACGGTACAATAACCTGATTAAGGTCGATAATGAGTGCATCCATTATGAGCACTGGTCGTCAGCTGGAATTCACTTTATATGTGATCTTTTAGACGACAATGGTTGTTTTCTGTCATTGGCTGACTTCAGGGCCAAGTTCAATGTTCGGTCAAATTTTATTGAATATGGTGCTGTAGTCCGAGCAATTAAGGTCGTTTTTAATAATTTGTTGGTGAATAATATAAACGTTCCGTTTCCATTTGTTTCCTTCAATTTTCACGTTCTTTTAAGCGATAAAAAGGGTTCTCGCAGATTGTAAGATATTTTTATCTCATCTAAAAAAGTCGTTAGAAAGTTTGTGGAAAAATGGGACGGGAAACTACAAATCAATTACGATTTTAGTAAAAGGTCTCAGGTATTAAATGTACCTTTAAATTGTACGGTTGATTAGAAGCTTAAATGGTTTCAGTACCGTTTAATCCACAGCATATTGGGCACTTATTCGTTTTTATTTAAAGTTAACTAGTTAGGTTCCAATGTTTGTACTTTCTGTAAGGACGAAGGAGAAACCCTTATTCACCTCTTTTGTAATTGCCGTCATGTCACTTTCTTCAGGAATTCAATTAAAGACTGGATCAAGGACAAGACTAATATTAGTCTCGTGGTAGACAATGAGCTTCTTTTGTTTGGTATTATTGATAGTAGATTCAAATGTCTCAACCTTAATTTTTTATTTTGTCGATTCCACATTTACAAAATGAAAATGAGTGACAAACGTCCATCTTTTGTAGCTTTTAAAAAAGATCTCAGGAGGTACTATATCTGTGAAAATATATGTCTGTTGTAAATGGAGTTGTACAGAAATTTGGTTCAAAATGGGCAAATTATTCTGTATTGTGTCAAGAGTAATCCCTTTTGTTTAAGTTGTCATTGATTAGATCTGTATCCTTAGCCACAACTGTATTTATTTGTCAATGGATGAGAGCTGATTGAAGAGCAATAAAATGTTATCCCCAGGATAATAATAAAAAAAAAAAGATGTCAATTGAATCCAGTCAGATATCAATTGTATCAAATCAGATATCAATTGTATCAAGTCAGATATCAATTGAATCAAGTCAGATATCAATTGCATCAAATCAGATATAAATTGAATCAAGTCAGATATCAATTGAATCAAGTCAGATATCAATTGAATCCAGTCAGATATCAATTGAATCTAGTCAGATATGAAACGAATCTAGTCAGATATCAATTGAATCAAGTCAGGTATCAATTGAATCTAGTCGAGTATCAAATGAATCCAGTCAAATGTCAATTAAATCAAGTCATACTGCAGATATTATTTTGGATCGAGTCAGATATAAATTGAATCAAGTCAGATATCAATTGAATCCAGTCAGATATCAATTGAATCTAGTCAGATATGAAACGAATCTAGTCAGATATCAATTGAATCAAGTCAGGTATCAATTGAATCTAGTCGAGTATCAAATGAATCCAGTCAAATGTCAATTAAATCAAGTCATACTGCAGATATTATTTTGCATCGAGTCAGGTATTAATTGAATAAAATCAGATATTGCAGTTGAGCACCTCTTATTTCTTTTCAGAAACAACACTTGCTGACGAAGTGTCACCAACTGCCAAGAAGCCAGCTGAGAAACATATCATGTATATTGGGCCATGGGTCGTGTCTTCAATCTTATTTATCCTTATTATCTTTCTGTGTTTCTGCTTTGTAAGTACAGATGACTATCGTTATTACAAACTCTGTTAATATACATTCTGTTTAAAGTGGACATAAAAGCCTTTGTCCCAACTGTGCATTTATGTCCGCCCATGTTGATAACAATTCTGATCAGGCAAACATTTTAGCTAGGTCCAGCCAAGTGGATGGGGAAGGGGATCAAGACGGTCGTGTGTGTACTATGTTTCCAATAATCTGAAATAAAAAAAATATTTGTAGCTGTCTGTCATAAACTTTGTTCTTTATCGCTGAGGACTTGGTGTGGAGCTAAAATTTGTTTGGAATCGAGAGTTCCCAAATAAAAAAGGAACAAATTCTTCTGGTTTGTATTTTTTTTCATAGGAGTTCTAATTTAAACCACAGGCAAAGCCTCCGTCATTTCTTTTTTTTGCAATAACCTTAAGACAATAAGCTTCATGTTCACCTTTAGTATATTAAACTTGTTCTTGATACAGGTACACCTAAATAGGAAACTCAAAAAACTCAATCGCACACTGAATCAGTTGGAAATGCAGTCCTCACCTGACAAAGAAGCCTCTAAATACAATCTTACACAGAAGTTGTTGCCTGACGCACCTGTGGAAATTGACTCCTCATCTGAAGAAGGAACATACGAAGGCACTCTTTTACGGAGGAGGAAGACCGGTAATTAATTGTATTTTCCTTTTTTCTTTTTACGTTAGTAAACTTTTACTTTATGGCATCTCAAATCACTGTACCAAGATATATGTGCTCAGTATTGTCCCGAATGATTGTGATAAAAAAAATTCATCCGGGTGGAACTCGAACCCACGACCTCCTGCTTACCAGTGCAGATAGAATGTGTCATTTAGACCCCCCAAAAGGCATTCTGATCCATTAAGGGGTAGAACCTGGATTCTGGATCAATCTAGCCAGGAACTCTTCAGAGTGATTAGCAAATAAGGAGGGGAAAATGGTGGGCAAAAAAAGAAAAAGATAAAGAACGCCCGCCAAGCATTAATGCGGTCCACCCTTTCCCTAACCTTCCGAATGTAGGTCTACTAATTTTGCAACCACCCCACCCCAGGGCATTTAGATACGTCAGTGAATATTCAGAGAATAGACATGTACATGTGCTTTCTTTTCTTTTCTTTACTCGGAATTAGGCGTTCCGCAGGTACTTGACTCGAAAAACCGCTTGATTCTGTCGCAGAACATCGGCGACAAATGGGCGGCATTGGCGATAGTACTGGACATTTCGGACGCCAAAATCGAAACAATTAGAGCGAATAACCAGCGAGTTCAGGAGGCACAAATCAGAACCATGCTGACAGAGTGGGTCCAGAGAAAAGCGGGGAATCCGAGGATAGTTCAGATGCTGGTCGAAGCATTTCGAGCGTCAACTGTCAATCTTTACAATTTGGCACTTGGTGGGTCTGTAAAACAGTTTCTACTCTGATTTCAATCTTTTTTTGGGTCGTCACACATCGCAAGTCATCAAAATCACACACATCACCAGTCATCAAAATCACATACATCGTCAGTCATCAAAATCACACACATCGTCAGTCATCAAAATCACACACATCACCAGTCATCAAAATCACACACATCGTCAGTCATCAGAATCACATACATCGCCAGTCATCAAAATCACACACATCACCAGTTATCAAAATCACATACATCGTCAGTCATCAAAATCACATCACACACATCGTCGTCATCAAAATCACATACATCGTCAGTCATCAAAATCACATCACACACATCGTCAGTCATTAAAATCACACACAATCGCACACACATTCGGCAGTTATCAAAATCACACACATCGCCAGTTATCAAAATCACATAAATCGTCAGTCATCAAAATCACATACATCGTCAGTTATCAAAATCACACACATCGTCAGTCATCAATATCACACACACATCGTCAGTTATCAAAATCACATAAATCGTCAGTCATCAACATCACATAATTCGTCAGTTATCAAAATCACACACATCACCAGTCATCAAAATCACATATATCGTCAGTCATCAACATCACATAATTCGGCGTTTATCAAAATTACACACATCGTCAGTCATCACAATCACACATATCATCACTGAGATATCAAAATCATACTATACTTTTATTTGGGATATGTGTCTAAACTGAGTTTGGCTCATCGATAATTTGTGACATTTTTTTTTTGATTGGTTACAAGTGTTACGAGGTCAAAGGTCGCTGGTTAACGATCCCAGCTATCCTCTAAAATGACATGGCAATCACACGGGATGTAGCATCCGCTCGTTTATCTATATATTCATTTTCTACTTTTGTTGTTTCCTCTTATTTTTCAGCTGTTGAGGCAGCCGAAGAGAATGGTGGAGACATTGTCCTATAAAGCAGGAAGGCTAATCATGTGGGAGAGACTTCATTTCATCTGGTCGCTCTTGACCTTTTTTTCTGAAATTGATTGAAATTAGTTTATGTAAATCAGTTTCATCTGTATCATAAAACTTATTTGCCAACAAATACTACAGGGTGTTCCCCCAAAACCCGAACCCTCAAAGCGCCCTCTTTTCACTGCTTAAAAAAATACATCGCAAATTTCGATACATATTTGGAGAGTGTAGTTCATCAGCTACTCGACAACGAAATTTTTGAGGTAAATGTTTAGGTATTTTTTAAATGCTACAAAAAAGAGGGCACTTTGAGGGTTCGGGGTTTTTTTTGGGGGGGGG